TGAACAGCTTCGTCTGCTAGTCAATCCCAATCTCGCCCATGCATTTTTAAACCTCTATCGGGATGCCATCTGGTCCAAAAGTTGTTCTTATCTTCATCCTTTTCAAACTTCTTTCAATTCTAACATCCTCTCACGAATGTATCTATGACATCCGTCCTCATTGTTCTAATAGTTCTTTCTGCCCCTATGTTCCAATTGGGCCTTGTGATAGAAGTCATTGTCATCAAAACCAGACTAAACCAATGGTCTGACCATAGTTAGCAGGTAGGGGAATAATAAAATATCGACAGACCAAAACATCGGTAATAAATCGGTTTTATTTCAAAAAGTCAGAAGAAAAGAAGGTAAAATATAAAGATTGCCAAAAAAATAGGGTAAGTTAAAGAATCGTGAATATTTTGGATTTGATTAAAAAAATCATAGTGAAAGAATCGGATATGTAAAGATAACACAGTATAGGATTATGATTTGCAGCTATTGTATAAATATATTAAAACCATTAAACAATAATTTTATAGCCTTACTAGTATCATTAGAGTAATTCTTGACAATTTTTTGTCGAAACTTTCAATAAATCCAATAACAATGTTCATTGTATTGTAGCAGCGCAAAACATACCGTAGATTTATTGGGAGAATAAAATGAAACAACAACAATACTAAACACTAGCAAATAACAAGAACTATGAACCAAGGTATATGATTATTTTTTAAAGGAAAAAAAATGCTCCCATTATAGGATTGCAGTTAATTAAAAGAAAACGCAAAGAGCCAAATACGTAAAATAGTGGTCCATCCAAAATGCTATGTTGTGTACACCACTGAAATAAAAAACTAAAACAAAATATGAAATTAATCATTCTATGCACAAAAAAAGCAACAAAATGCTTAAGTAAATTTGGATCTCACACTAAATTCCAAGCTTAGTTAATCTTTAGCATCATTGAATGTCTCTCTAGCTCTTTATAAAGACGCTATGAGTTTAAAGAAAATAATAATAATATTTTTTATTGGGTTATTCTTCCTCTAATTCTACGTATTATTTTGAGATATACGATTGTTTTGATTACTTTTTTTTAGGAATATATTGCTTGAATTTTTTCGTACATTTTTTTTAAGGGAACTCATTGATGAAATTTTTGATAGATTTTTTTTTGTTAAATCAAGATTTTTAATTTACTCTCATTGTTAATGCATTTATCTTTAAACCAAAATTCAATAATATCAACTTAATGAAGAAATAAAGTTATAGGGAAGAAGTTTTTGTGAAAAGTTTTTTTTTTGAAAAAATATTTATATATCGGTTCCATTAAAAAAATATGATTTTTTGAAGATCTTTTGAAAAACTAGGAGTTCTTAACAAATTTTAAAAAAAAAAATGGAGATTTTTTTGGAAAAATCGTGTTTTAAATTGAGACTTGTGGTCTAACTGATCGGACCACTAACTAGTGTCTTGGCCAGTGAGACCAATTGGTTTTAATTGGTTTGACAAGCTAAATGACACTGGAAAAAAATTTCGAACGCATTTTAAAATAGGGAAATTTTCTTAAAGGACATTAATTCCTCGAATTATTTCATGGTAGACCTTCATTCCATTTTTCTTTCAAGCGGTATAATACTAAATATTTTGCCATACGCCCTCATCTCTTATCTCACTGTTTTATCGACTTTTGATCATAAAAATTAGCCCCAACAAATCTTTTTATATCATTTCAATCTAAAAACTTTTTTAATGGGTGGAAACGAAAAAAGAAGGTTAAAAAAGTTTTTTAGATGAAATGAAATAAAAGACTTTGTTGGGGCTAAATTTTATGGGCAAAAGTCAATAAAATAGGGAGATAAGATATGATGGGATACGGTAAAATCCTTAGGGATTTCTTTACGCCGCTTGAAAAGAAAACGAAAAGATGGTCTACCATAAAATAATATGAAGAATTAGGGTTCTACGAATTTTTCTCTTTAAAGTAATATCTTTATTTATTTATTCATTTATTTTTTTAAGGATTGGTCCAAGGAGACGACTACTTTGGCATTGAATTGACGAGATTGCAACGACAATGCAAAAATTACCACCAAGTCCAAATTTTTGAAATTTTGACATAAGTTTGTTTGGTTGCTCCAATACCCTCTGTGATTCCGCTGTGCCGCTCTAATGAAAAAACATCAACACGAATGGGAAGATTGAAAACCATGGATCAACTTAGCATACTGTGGAAACATGCCTATAGAGAAGCCAACACCAACGTTTACTCATTGGCAAAGGAGGGAGCCCAATCCAACCAAAATTTCGGCCTTTAAGCCCAGTGACTTTGGGTCCGGCCCGAAACCCGGCCCAAACCGTTGCCAACCCGGAATTAAGTTCACACCGCCTTGAATCCACAGAGTTAACAATACAAGTAGCTAACAGTGGTATCAATAGAGGGACCGATCGATCGAAAGAGAAGTTCTATGACTAGGGGTGGTCCGGTGGACTCGGACTCGGACCCAAACCTGAATGGTATTCGGGTCCAGGTTTTGAACGCAAACCCAACTCATCGGGTCCAAAAGTTGAACCCATACCTGTACCCGTCAGGTCCCAGGTCTATCCCATTAGGTCCCGGGTCTAGTCGGATCCATTGCTACCCTCACTATAAGTTTTTTTTGTTTACCATCATATATTTATATTATTGGCATCAAAGTCACAATCTCCGCCATTAGATTTCAAGCTATCTGATTTATTATTTAATAACTAAAAATGACTGAGTTCTTATTGTATACGATCTTTAATACATCCAAATGAATAGGGTTGAAGTATTTTATCTCTAACAGTATACGGATATGGTTCGGGTACGGATCGGATGGCGTCGGGTCTAACCAAACCTGAACCCGAATAGCGTTCGGGTCCAGGTTTTGGACCCAGACGCAACCCGTCGAGTCCAAATGTTGGACCCATTCCTGGACCTATATCAGGTATACCTGGTGGGTCCCTGGCCGGGTCTAAGTCCATTGCCACCCTATATATGACGTTTATGAAGGGTGGGGTGCCTAAATGGACCTCAAACGCCTGAACTTTTGGATGCATGTATATCGAGAGTTAGATGTTGGACTTATGTCTCAGCATCATCGAAGCTCCAAAGAAATTCTTCATTGTCATCATCATCATTAAAGCTTTTTCTAACGGGCAAGCGTTTTATGTTTCCCCTAAAACATAAAACTTATATACTTTCCCTTATCCAACCGTCCATTCTGAATGGAGGGCTAAGATTGCCCTAATCACAATGTCACATCTCTACACTATTTTATTTTAAATTTTTCTTTATAAACTATTTTGACACCAAATTTTGGACGTCCAATATTCTATTAAACTCGCACTAGCGAAAAATATAAAAAATATATTTTCAATAAAATAAAATGATCAAAATACTCTTGAAAGTTTCAAAAGATATTTTGGTCATTATATTTTATTAAAATTTTATTTTTAATATTTTTTATAGGTGCGCCCCAATGAGAAGATTGCATGTACCAAATTTCATATTCATAAAATTTGTATAAAAAAAACAAAAAATAAAATACTTTGAGATGTCGGATCTAATATCAAACGGTGTGGCTCTCTTGATCAAAATTGGACAACTTGATGATAAAGAAAGCATAGATCTTCTAAGTTGTAGGGGAAGTATGAAACCTTTTCATTTTCTAATTATGGGTCTGTTATACAAATCCTAGTCCACTATTCTGCTCTAATAAGAATCATATCCTTAGAGAGACATACGTTACCATATCTTTTCTCACTACTTCCAACCATATCATTTTGAGTCCACCCCTGGTTTGTTTTAACCTTCCATTTAAAACTTCTAGCCATGTCATTTTGAACCCACCCCTAGTTTGTTTTAGCCTTCTACTTGAACTAACACTTCCTAATAATTATTGTATTGAGTCTGCATGACCAACCCACCTAAATCTACTTTCTCTCATCTTGTCGCCTATTGATATCACACCTAAATTCTTTTGAATATATTCATTTGAAATTCTCACTTCTTGTCTTTGAACTTCTCCATTGTCATGTTCTGAAAAACTTCTCCATTGTTACCATGCTTAGAGATTCCACAACGTGTACAGCTACCCATGAGAGCTGAAGAACAAGGAGCATTAGAAATCGGAATCCTCCACATCGATGCCAGGGCAAGGTCCTACAGCAATGGTGGTCTTCCTCTGTTGCGGGGTCTAACCAATTTAAACATGTTACAGGTTGACCATTTATCAAATGAAAAAGTTTGCATGAGGGTGAAGCCCTAAACCATCAAATTAAGGCACATCTCAAATTTTCATTGGAAGAGGTTTGTTTTGATGCTAAAAAATCCTCAATTCGATCATCTTGACCTCAAGATGTATGGACATGAGAAAAAATAGATTTTTAGTCTTGAAAATAGTTCATCTTGTATTGTATTATCCAAACCGTCAATTTTCAATATTTTCAAATGTTCATAAATCTGCTTAATCTACATTATTCTTGAATCTTTAAACTTTACAATTAGAAATAGAAATGAATTTTCAAGCCATCAAAAAGACTTATGATACTGAAATCATATATTTTGACAATATTCAATGATGCACAATTGTTTAGAGCCTCAACCTTATACAAATCACACCCTTTTTCAAATCATTGCTGTGATATAAAAATAGTCAGCTGTCATAAGCATAATGAAAACATCCAACAAGATAAAATTTCGCTCTCCTTTCATTTTCTTCTCTGATGTTCAAGCATAGATTATTGTTCAACACAACCCCATTATTCAGTTTACCTTTTATTCTTATTTTTCCCCAAATTTCCAGGAAATTTGGGGTCCTGTCCTTTAAATTCACATAAATGTAAATGATTCCCGAACTTTTTAACTCCTGCTACTGGTGAGGCATTCTAGACAAGCAAAGCAAAAAAGGGAGCTTCAAAAGTTTCAGTGCAGCAATATCAACAAATCAAGGATCTAGCTTATCCACCCAAAACAAGAATGTTTTATGAGATAGGGATCACAGCATGGGATATATATATTGGTGAAAATGATAACACAAACCACAAATTTCCTAGAACTCAGCTTCCACTACGGAATTTTAATTACAATAAAGTACAACGGCTTCAATAAACCTCGTAAAAAGAATCACGAGAATAGTTAAGCACAACTTTCTCATCCACTCAGACAAGCAAGGCATGTATTCCCTAAAAAATTGAGCTGTATTAGCACGTCCTATGTTTTACAGAAAGTATGTATGTCATATTTATCTATCCTCGTAAGATCCTTCGCTTTCTTTATCTTTCAAGAATCCCAAAAATGCAAGGAAGCCGAAAAAGAAGAACCCACCTTTCCATCCACCTCCTCCGCCACCACCACCACCACCATCACCATCATCACGGGGAGGGAACCCAGTCCCACCATCATCAAGCTCTGGAGACTTCTCTTTATCTGCAATTTCCAGCCAAATCTTAGTACTTTTTTCATTATGCTAGTTATATCATCATTATCACCTCAATCTATGACAAATTATTAAGCGAGGAGTACATTATTATCCTAAAGGAAAATGGAAATAGCATCACTTTGGTCATCATCCATTGGAATGATGAATGGTGGTGGTGAAAGAGGGAGATGGGGGTTACGTCTTGTTCTCGTGGATCACACTCACCCTCATCAGTGTCCACCGTTTCAACAGAGTGATGACCCAATGTACTAAACTTTTTTCTCTCAGTTCAACGAATCAGAGATACAATCCCCTCTCTCTCTCTGAGAAACAAATTATCCTACTTATTAATAAAATTTTGCTATCATGCATCTGATTATTCCAATAGATATATATACACACACACATATATTCAATATGAATTTTGAATTTACCCCTGCCAATTTTTACTTTATTTATTATGAGGATATGTACTATGGGCAAAAGAACTTTATAGATTTTTTTTTTTTTGAGGTTGGTTGTTGGGTTGAAGAGGTTACATCCCAAAACTTGGGGTCCTAAAAGTATGAATTTACCCCTGCCAATTTTTACTTTATTTACTATGAGGATATGTACTATTGGGCGAAAGAGCTTTATAGATTCTTTTTTTTTTTTTTTGAGGTGGGTTGTTGGGTTGAAGAGGTTACATCCCAAAATTTGGGGTCCTAAAAGTACTCCAAGAATGGGTTGTAACAGGGGAGTAATTGCTCCCATGGGAGCATGGAATATTTTCAAAATTATTGTCGAGATCATTTTCAAATTTTCTAAAATAATTAACTAGTAAAACAAAATGTTTATCAAGACAAATCAATTGCTATCTTCTGATTTATCAACATGCATCATGTGGTGTGAACTTTGCTAACATAGCGTACAAAGTTTGGAGATGTTAAATGTCCCAACATTTAATACAAAAAATCTTTGGCCAGAGAATTTCATGTCATTTTTGAAGGGCAGGACATCAACTTGCCATTAAAAAACAGGTCTCTGTTACCTTGCTGCCCCCATTTAATGCCCCACATGGGGTGACAACAGGATAAAAATTGCCCCTCTAACAACTACCAGGTAGCCTTCACACAGCCAGTCTCTCACCACTCTCTACTCCTTTAGGTAGGCTCTTTCTAATAAGGCTTCTCTCCTTAAAAGTCTTTCTCCATTGCTATCTAAATTTAAGCATAGTTAGCTTGGAGTAAAAAAAAAGCCATATCTATCTCATCTTAAAATTTTTCTTATTCAATTATCTAAATTTATCTCTCGATGAACATAAACTAAAGAAAAAATGTATGAATGAGATATAAAAAAGGAAACTTCAGAATTTCTACAAAATAAGAATTTCAATCAGAATAGCTAGGTGCCTTTTTTTTTTTAAGTAACATAAAAATTTGTTTTAAGAAATAAATTAAAAAAAACTTTAAATAAACATTAAATATGAGAAACTAAATAATTATATAGATGTAAATAACTTAAGAAACCACAAAAAAAGTAAAACATAGGTAGTAATCATGTTTTATTTAACTTTATATTTCAAAAATTAGCTAGTTGGCATTTATGTAGGTAAAGTTTTTTTTAGAACCATGGATTAAGACTGAACGATGGGCCAATCACCATGCCAGGGGGTTTTGGTGGACCACAAAACTCCCAAATCATATTTCTTCATCTCTATGTTCAATCTAGAATAAAGATTGAAATTATTTGGAGCTCAGAAACTGCTATCCAGACGGTCCATTTGTTGGATAATAAGATCTAGAGTTGGAGCTCAAAATAATATTTGTTGTTCTTGAAATTTATCATACAGTAATTAAAAAAGATTTGAAAACTTCAGGTCCCAATCTCCTAACATGGTGTTTGTCCCTTGAGTCAATGTGCACAATATTGACCCATGGATCCATAGAAAATTGCTCCTTTATGAATGTTGTAACTTTGGATGTATGAGTGCATGTAAGTGTGGTTTTTTACTTTAATTGCCCCAAACTTTCATGCAAAGCATTTTTGGATGAGTTCTTTTTGTGTTGAGTATCAATGACAAAACTGAAATCAGAGAGAGAGAGAGAGAGAGAGAGATGTGACTTATAGCTTGAGAAACACTCATGTGTATTCCCCCTCATATATAGGACCAGAAAGCAAGATGCATTCATGGATGGTCATGCGATCTTTTTTTTTGGGGGTGAATACGGTCACGCAATCTATGCATGCATATGTACACGTACATACATCTTTTTCTTTCTTTTTTTTCTTTTGTTTCGAAGAACTATACATGTACATACATTCAAAAGACCATATAATAAACAATCAAAATCATGGGCGGTATGGTAACTGGATGGAAATCAAACATAGGAATGCAATCTGCATGTTTATGGATAATAACATTTAAAATGCAATGCAGTATGCAAATGAGATTTTTCAAAGCTAATTAGGTCTACTATGCTATATACTTAAGACTTTTTTTTTGGCAATATACTTAGACATTTATATCGAAAAGAAACATTATAGAGAAGCATGGCCCAAAAGAACTATATTACATGTGTGTGAGAAGTTATAGATTGCTAGTGAATACAGATCTTAAAAGACCTTACATTTTCTGATTGCACATAAAGTAATATACTAAAAACTGCTGATTTCCGAGTCCAAATGAAAGATCTTTATTTTACAAAAACCATAATTAACAGTAACTTACTCTGCGCAGGTGCATTTGTAATCACTGCAGACTGATGCTGAATGGTTTGCTGCTCTGTTGAACACCTTGCATTCTGAAAAACAAAGGAATAGAAGAACAAAGAACTTTCCAGTAAGTACTGGGGTGAAAATGCAGGAAAACAGTATCTAAAGCTGGAAGCTTTCAATTCATTCCTAACAAATATTGATAGAAAGAGAGAAGGAATTGAAATGTAATTACCACAGCCAAAGCACAAATTGCACTAGCAGAACCCATTCGACACATTGCCCCAGTAGAAGCCATCTTATGAGCAAGTGAAACACCGGTTTTACATTGTGACATTCTTCTCGTTGATATGTTGGGCATTGCCAGGCCAGATTTTAAAAGCCGAATGCTCCCTCGAGAGGGCACTCGCACTTTACCTGCATCCATTCAATGGTAATTTCAATAAAGATGACATGATAAAAATATCGGCATTATTATTTAGGGACAAAATTTCATACCAAAAGGAAAGGTGCTAAAGAGGGGACAATTCTGTTTCAATGTTAATAACTAAAAAATTGATCAACAAACCTTTTTGTGGGATAATCCCTACATGTGACCATCTCTCAGAGACGGCCTCAATAAGGGGTAGCAGGATACCATTTCAAATTCCATAATTTGTTAACTCACACAATACATTACAATCCAATGGACTTTGGAAAATCAAAGTCCTTTCCAATCCCATGTAATGATGGATGGCGATGCATAGACTGTGGAACCCACCAGAACATGAGATGAACTCACACCCTCCATAGTATTGGACTCAATGACCATAATGGATTAGGGTTTCCATGGTCCACTCAACTAATATTGAACTTCCCCCTCTTAGTTCATTGTCAACCTTCACATAGAAATAAACAAAGGAATTATTTTGTGTACCTAAAGGTATCTCGGGAGAAAAAACACTTGGGACAGCTGCAGGAACAATTGTATTCAGTGGAGACATCGTGATCGAAGCCATGAAATCTGCAAAATATTTAGCAGTCTGTTAAAATCAAGAAGTCTGACCAAACGATTACAATAATTCAGCTGTCTTGTAATAAAAAAATAATGCAACGTAATAAACACAAGCCAATATTATCTCTATGGGGATATCACAAAGCAACTTCAATCAAAACCCTAAATATATAAATAGAAAACGAAAGCCAGTACCTTGGAACTTTGGAGAATACTAACAAATAAAATTATGATCAACTACCAAAAATAATAATTACGATGATAAAAACAATGATGATGATAATCATAATGATGATGATGATAACACAAGTATGCCTCAGTAAGCTATATCATCATACAAGTAAGCTATATGGACGTATGAACAAATAAGAAAAGGAACAATGTTGATATGAAACAATGTCAGGTAAAAGGCACAATTAATACAGTTCCTATAAGATAAAGCTCTTTATGTTAGAACATTTTGAATCATAAAAGGATCAACTGTAGCAAACTAATCACCCTAAGGATCTGCTAAGGAATAATCAAAATGAAAGATAGCAAATCATGAAGGTTGTATACACCTCTGTTTGTTTTCTATTCTTTTAAGTACAACTTCATGTACACACCTATGAAACACTCGGCCACTTATCGAAAGGAAAAGGTGGACATTAGGGGCCACGAGGCCTCGAAGCAGTCCCGAGATTTCATGAGAAAACTAATTCTAGCTTCATTTATGTGGGGAAAAGGAGGTAACTATAAAAGTTTTGGGGTAATGAAGCTACTGCACCTTGAAATACAACTCTAATCAATCTGTTAATGTCTATCTAGAGATATTGTACACATCTTGCATTCAAAATTAACATAATAGTCCTCCTATGCATTAGCCGCTTAAAATCTGCTCTCAACTCATATGGTTCGGGATAGAAAATAGCCACCTCCTTGGTTAACACTCATATGGTCGAACCGGTTTACGCATAGGTGCAGTCAAACCGGATGGAGCGGACCAATTTACTGGTTGGATCAGTAATACAACAAAACAAAACAAAAAAAACCGAAGGAAAAAAGTAGAGAAAAATAGGAAAATATAGTATTCAGAAAAATCCAATATTTTTAAGAAAAATAGAAGTAACTGAAGTATAAATGTAGAGCTAATTTTTAAGGGCTTTTACAAATTTAAGATTTTTAGTTTGTAAAAGCCCTTAAAAGTTTAATTTTATCCCCTAGCATTTTCAGTTATGGCTTTCAAAGGCTTTTACAAATTGTAAAACCCCTTCAAAAGAACCAAAATTAATAACGTACAATGAAAAAAATGGACAAACTAACTGATTGGAATAAAAATCAATTTTTTTGCATTTTTCTAAATCAAAAAAATAAGAACTTACTCGGAGGTTGAGTGATTCAACTTTTGGCCAGATTTTGATAGGATAATGGCCAGAAATCTCATTGAAAGCCCACATTTCAGTGTTGAGAGAGAGAGAGAGACGTGAAAGCCCCTTCTCTCTCTCTCTAAAGCTGAGTTTTATATGACTTAGAACCCTTGAGTTTGTAAGGATAACCCCCACCCCCCCTCTCCAATCTCTCTTTCTGAGACCACTGCTGTGGTTTTGAAGAAATCAAAACCAAAAAAGAAAAGGTCAAAAGTAACCTTTTTAGTGGACTTGTCGGTTCGGTCATGGACCAGTGGACCTGCCAATCTATTTGATGGACAGGTCGACCAGTCCATGACCAATTCCTAGTACCAACTGGTTCATAGCCCCTGACCGAACCGAAAAGTGTATCGACTCTCTCACACAAATTCCCAAAGTCCTAACTCCTACACCATGCTTAATTAGCTCTTTTATTTCTAACATTTTCTTACTTTGCATATCCCAATTTGACTTAAACTAAAGAGATTGTATACTATGAGACATTTATCTTTGTTACAAGGAAGTCATAATTACTCCAAGCCATTAGATGTCATGTTGAATAGCTTAGGGTGTATCACAAAGTTCGAGAACTATTTTTTTAAACTTGGAGTCTAGTCAACTCTTACAACCAGCCAATTTGAAATCTAACGGACGAGAGTGATATTGACCCTCTTGTTCCAAAAGTAAATGGTCTCTTTGTATACTTTTCCTAAACTAAAAGGCAGGAATAAATTCATCCTTTTCCTCGAAAACCTTGGTAGCGTTATGTTGAATGGAGAAACAAGAGTATTTAATTCAATATATAGGTTATGGTATTTTTCCAATTTTCTTTCTCTCAATCTCTATAACATATACCCATAATGGATAAAATTCTCCCCTTTGAAACTGCCATTAGCTGCCAATTTACAGACTAAGGTCCCATCCTCTAACAAATACGAATTCCCCACTTCTTAGAACACCCTGGAAACCCTAGTTTACAATATCAGGAACACTAATTTTCACTTGAAGTAACATTTATGTAGCTTCTTTAGTAGAGGTATGCCATGATTAGATAGTTGGTTTGGATTTTCTTTTTTTTGTCTTGATGGTGAATTCCAATTCAATTATACCATGCACCATTAAGGGCATGTTTGATAACTAGAAGCAAGTTCATGAACTGTAAATTGGAAGTTCCTCCTTGCTGGGAAGATATAAGTTACTGTAAGAAGTTCCAGGTTTCTGTGTTTGATAACCTCCTGGGAAGTTAAAGAAATTCCTGGTTTATGTGTTTGATAACCTCCTAGGAAGTTAAAGAAGTTCTTGGGCCTCCTCTACAGGGTTCCACTGGCTCATATTGTTAGGGCAATCTTTAGCAGTTATAATAAAGCCTCATTCGGTTGATTTCTTTAAACTAGAAGGCACTAAATATTAAGCATAAATTTCAAAACCTATCTTGTAACCCCCCAAATAACTTTATCTATTTTTATTCCAACTGTTAACCCAAACAAATTAAAAAAGACATTTGTTTTTCTAACTCTCTCCTCACGTGTTTCTCTCTCTAAACTGTTCTACCTCTCTCTTTCTGCAAACCATTTCTTTACAGCTCAACAATGGTGGAAAATTTCAGCGATTTTGTGTAGAGAGCTCAAGAATAGGCTTCGAATTCTTGAAAAAAAAAATGTGTAAGGGTGAAAAGGTAGAGAAAAGGGTAACTCTCTCTCTCTCTTGTAGTAGAGGCCATATGCGGTTTCAGTGGCCTCTTCGTCTTCAATTGCAGACGAGAGGACAAACCCTGATCCTAACCCTAACAGGCAGCATGCAGTGGCTGCTTGGGCTACATCTCCAAGCAATGGAATCATGTATGAGGAGACATGAAACTCGTCGATGACCTAGAAATTATAGTGACGAGGTTGAAGGTGAAGTAGATGAAGGATGGGAAGATAAAAGGGTGAAACTCTTGGTGATGGCTTCTCAGATCCTGGTTGGTCTCGAGAACTTGGCTCTGAGAGAGAGATGGACGAGATGGGGAAAATGGAAAAAAGAGAGATACAGTTGAAGGAGATAGCAAGAGAAGAGGGGTTTGGGAGGTTGTTGATAGGGGGAGAGAGAAAGGGAATCATGTCAAGAGAGAGGGGTTTAGAAAAACAATGTCTTTTTTAAATTTGTTGGGGCCAAAAAAACTAGTAAAAAATAAATAAAATATATTTAGGGGGTTAGGAGATATAATAAAGTGAATTTCTATGTAGTAAGAAAAGTTTTGCAACCTTAGGTCAATGGAGAAATGAAAGTTGAAAATAGGGTCTATGGAGATATTTTCCCTAAATAAATAATAAAACGTGCAAGGCATTATAACTCAAACATAAATAGAGAAAATGCAGAGAAACCCAGAACAAAGTACCACAATGAATTTTAGTAATCATTGGAAGCTCAAAGTACAATCCAATGACCAAGTTCTACAACAACGAGAATGCAGATCTATATTGTCTAGACTCTTTAAAGAGAAACAATGCAAAAAATTGTCATATAGAGCTTAAGGAAACTCAATGCGTTGAATATGCCAAAACTATACAAAGTAAAACCATGATAGAATTCAACATAAAAGATCAGAATAAGAATGCATTGACCACAATTCAACATGCTGAACTGTTTGGCATTTAGCACACAAAAGGTTCCCAATGATGCAAAAAAAGACAATGTTGGAAATGTACATGCTCAACCAGAAACATAACCACCCTGTGCTATTGAACCATAAATAAAGCATAACAAAAGAGAGCCTAATAATAGAAATCTAATCAAATCCTATAAAAGAAAGCAAGATAATTAGTAAGGGCCTATTCTTCAAGCACAGGTTTCTCTAAGTTCAAGTTGTCTATAATTCAAATTCACTTTCATAAAAACCCAAGCAAAAGGTGCATAGAATATGGCAGGTATACACAATCAGTAAGGAGCTAAATGGGCAATGAATAGACTAGAGAGCATAGAAATAGATAAGTAATAGAAGAAGGTAATATCTCATATAAGAAGAGACCCAAGGTCTCATCTGCGGTTAAAGCAATGTCTCCCATTATGAGCCATCCCATATGAAATGTCATAATCAGAATATTGCCATCAAGTCCATCCCCAGCTAATGCTCTCTCTCTCTACACCCACATTTTGCATGAAAACATCTCACCTGATAACTTCACCTTCCCCTTAATGACTAAATCATGCTAACTATGTGATGCCATCATAATCATTGCAGCCAATCTTATTGTTTCTTTCAAACCAAATACAGCTGAAGATCCTTACAGTAAATAACAGATAGGATGCTAATATTCATGATAGAGTATTGCCACAATTTGCAGCATAATGAAGATAACCTTCTCAATAACTCAGCAATAATTTTCTAAAGGGCATTGAAAAGGTTAATGGATAAATTGAATTGTCATCCAAACGACATCCGAGCAATTTCTCGAACAAGGGTGTGAGATGGATTAGTTAAACAGAACTATAGAAAAAGCGACAAACAACATTTTAATTAGCCATGAAAGTAAAGTTGATCACTTCGGAAATCAATAAGAGGACTGAAACCAAATCCTCATTCATTATGAACCCGAAACCACCTTCCAATTTCCAAATTTGACTATGACCATTCCCAGAAACTAAAGTTCCTTGACAAAAGTCCTACAAAACTAAAACCAATAATACTCATTTGATGTGAATGGTCTCTGAAAAATAGCATATGGGTGTCAAATTTCTTCTCTCTCTTTGTGTCATGGCATGGACAATAGTCCCTGTGCTGGGTATCACAGAACTTGAAGAAGTTGGGGATGGTGGTCTCATAGTCTGATAGGTTTGGGAGTGAAGGATCAGAGTGGTGGTGTTCAAAGTCCATAAAGGGTCCAGATTGGTGAAGAGTAAGGAGATCCAGCCTTACCCCATTACCAAAACAATCTGCAGTTGAATTGGAGAATGAGTTTAGGTGAAGAGAATATGGTTTTTTGTGGAGATTTGAACCAAGCAAGTAGGAGAAGAGGTAGAGGAGAGAGATACAAGAAAATATGAATTACCTAAGCTAATCGAAACTACTTTTTTGACAGATTACCCAAGCTAATCTGAAAATCTGAACCAAGTAAGTGTGTTTTTTTTCCTAATCCTCTTTTTCAAATAAACTATGTTTCGAGTGGCTCCTCTAAATAATATTCGATTTGGAGCTCCAAAAAATTTAAATCTTTTGCATTTGTCCAAAATTGAGTTTGAGGGTTGAGGATTCTTGGAGCTCTAATTCAATTTTTTCAATTTTTTATGGGATTGTTTCCATAATAAAACAATATAACAAATTTTAAGGTTTGCATGAACTAGGGAGATGCTAATGTAGCAATCTCAGAGTGAATCAAGCTAATCAAAATTACAGCATTCTGGAATGAATGATACTGATTCCAACAAAAACCCAAACTATCAAATGATTGTGCATCCATATTCTTATCATGCAGACAACCAACAAGCCCTCTAATATCTTATCATGTATCAACCAACAAGCACTCTAATACGGATAGATTGTCAGGGAACTTGATGATGTCAAGCACTCAAAACAATCAGTTAACCCTGAATCTAGATTTACAACATAGAAAAATCACAAAATAAAGCTTTTGCATTGCCTTAGAACTCGATTTACAACATAGAAAACTATTAAACCAATTTAATACTAGATTCAACATAGGAAATTATACAAAAATAAGTAGATTTAACCCTAGAAATGTTTTTATAGGGTTTCCTCCATAAAAAACCCTGAGAACAATGTTGCCAATAGAGAAATCCGAAATTAGCAAGAAAAAAGAAGAAAAAAATGCAAAATCAACAAAGAACTCGCTGATTGGAGGTACTTGTTGAGGTTGCAAATAGTACTGGGCGAGAGGCTACCTTTACTGGGAAGAAAGAGCGCGAGAAAACTTTTGCAGTGGAGCTGCTGTTTTGCTGAGCTGCTAATTGCCAAGAGAGGGGTGGCTGAGCGGCTGAGTAAACCCTAGGGCACAATTTTATGGGGGGAAAGTTTTGATATAAACTTCCCTTTTCAAGTTCCGACCTTTTAGTTGGAACTTATTCTACATACAAAACTGGGAACATGAACAATGATAGGTAAGTTCTTTATTTACCTTACTGTTTTTTATCAAACATAGAAGATGAACACTAATAGGTAAGTTCTAACTTCCAGGAAGCAACTCCTGTTATCAAACACGCCCTAAGTGACAGCTTGGCTCATAATCAACGGGTACTGACAGTTAACTATGGCAGCTTTTTCTAATAGAGATTCATAGGATTATACATTTTATACTTAATTCTAGTACCACGTTTGACTATAAATTTCTATATCTGATGGTGCTCCATATAAGCTTTTCAAACTGACCACAACCATGGCTATTTGTGTCTCTTAATATAGTTATCGTCTTTTAGGTTACCAACCCTGGTCAGAAATTACAGTCACGATAAATGGATGTGGGTTCCAACTATCATTTGAATCATTAACACAAATTTAGCACGCAAGAATGATAGGTTTGCTGGAAAACATACTGAAGGCTTCCATCCCCTCAACACTTGCTGGGTCTGTAATTATAACATTTTCATTTTTTATGAGTAATCAAATAAATCTGACATGTTTTCAAAACCATTTCTATGTTTTCTTTCAACTGAAGTTTTTATTTCTTGTAAGGGAAATGGACAGCATCGCGAAAGCCATGGAAGAAACATTCTCAGAAAAAGAAAGAAAGCCATGGAAGAAACCGCATAAACAAATCACAGGGAGATGACGAGCATCATGAAAAACACCCGATGTTCGAAACCGATCAACTAAAGAAACGGCATAAGAACGAAACCCAAAAAGCAATTCAATTGAAGCTCAAGCCAAACACGCAACTGTCCATACAATTAAATACCCTAATTTCATCAAACCTAAACAAAATTTCAACCCTGTACAATTTTCGCAATCAACCAACGGAGTAACCAACATCCAGCATCCCAACCAAGTTGTGTGCTAGTTTTCTCACTCTAAATAGACAAATAAAATGTATGCACAGAAAAAACAGTGATGGTAACGCATAACCTAGATTCATAAACAGCAAAAATAACCCCAAAACACCCCAAAGAAAAAAGCCAAAAACAATAAAAGTCAGAAGAACCCTAATTTTTGTGAGCCAACTCTCAGAATCGCTACTACATAAAGTACGAGAAAGCCAAAATTAGGGTTTTTTACCTTTAAATCTTGGATTCAAGAATCCTCAAATTTCTATGGCGGATGGAGCAGATTTCTTTTGAGAGAGAGCTCAAATTCGGAGCTGTGATGCGAGAGAGAGAGAGAGAGAGAGAGGGAGAGAAAAAGCGAAGGATTCTGCTTGCCTGCGATGTCTAAGCGTCGGCCGCATTTATTGCTAGCCGTCCATTTGACCCCAATCTCGATCTTTCAGCGTACCATAGAAGTGGACATGTAAAATCATTTTCAAATTTCAACGCAAAAAAAGAAGGGTGCGGTCCGATGAGAGCTTAGACCAATCAAATTAGAGCCTACTTTCAAATAGTGTCAAGAAAGGTCGTTTCTCCACATAAATGTTTGTGATAGCTTTAAAATATATTTTTATTATTATTTATAAAATTTAAAGCTTTAAAAATAATATAGATAGACATATCTATAAAAACTTAAAAATATTGAATATTGACGGGCCCAAAACACATTACAAAATATATTATTTCCAAAACTTAAAATCTATTTTTTTTCTCATGTCGATGCATCTTGATGTCGAGATGATCAATTTGAGGATATTTTTCGATCAAAACACTCTCTTGTAATAAAATTTTTGATGTAGGCTCAAATTTGATGGTTTAGAGCCTTGGCTCTGTGTACACTTTTATCAAAAACAGAAAGGAAAAGTTTATATGGAGCCAGGCTCTAAACAATCAAATTTGAGCCTACATCAAAATTTTTACTTGAAGATATTGTTTTGACGTCCAAGTATCTTAAAATCGATCATATCGACATGGATATGTATGGACATGAGAAAAAATGGATTTCAAGTTTTGGAAATAGTGTATTTTGTAACACATTTTTTGTCAGTCAATTTCCAAGATTTTCAAGTTTTCATAGATTTGTCAATCTATACTATTTTTAAAGATTTAAACTTTATAAATAAATATGAAAATATATTTTAAGGCTATCACAAAGATTTTCAATATTAAAATCATATTTCTTGACACTATTGCAGGTAGGCTCTAATTTGATTGTTTAGAGCCTAAGCTCCATACAAACTGCACCCAAAAAAAAAAAAGGTCTATAAGCGTTGGCTTGTTTGATAACTGGAATATCTATAAGCGTTGGCTACTTTGATAACTAAAAATTAGGTTTTCTGTAATCCTGAAGTTAGATATTGTGATGTCTGGAAGTTTTCTGGAATACTAAAGTTAGATATTGTGATGTCCAGAAGTTTTTTGGAATCCTGAAGTTAGATATTGTTTGATAAACCGCATGGAATTCTAGAAAGTCTTGGATCCTGTCTTTTATTGAACCTAGAATTGGGAAATTGGGAGACCCGGAAATGAGCTAGTTCTTCGTGACATAGTGAAAAGCGTAAGGCATAAAAAAGTAACTTCCTACCCAGTCACCAGATCTCTATGTTACATTCTCATCTGGAAGACGAGAAAAAAAGAAAATCATGGCCTATTCAAAGTTTCGAGTCAATGCCCTTCGACTACCTTCCTAAAACAACGTAGAAATCAAATATCTCAGTTGCATTATTTTAAAATAAAGTGCAATGCTTGCACTAGTTAACGTGCTGATTTTCTACAAAATAAAGAGCGCAAGGCTTAAAAAGTAAAAATAAAAACCAGGGGGAGATGTGGATGCTACTTGAAGAGATGAAAAGGGGAGAGAGAGACATCTGATGTGCTGTTAGACCGGTTCTTCCAACACTTTTACGTATAATTTAATTAATTATTTGAAAAGTTCCATCATTTCTTTTTCATATTCTTCCATGTTTTCTTTTAATTGATTATTTGAAAAGTTCCATCGTTCCTTTTTCATATTCTTCCATGTTTTCTTTTTCTTGCATTTCTTAACTTTGACTTTAGCTTTTAAAAATACACTGGTTTTTTCTTACTGTTATTCATAATGTAGATTAATGCAGGTAAGAGCTCAGATGGTAGCATGTAGCATAATCATTTAAGATTTATCTTTTACTCTTTTTTATTTAGTTTTCTCATCCTCAACTAGTTTTTATAATATGATCATTTGAGTAGTCTCGGATTCTTCTATAGCACTTGGGGACAATTGAGATTCTACAAATTATTTCTTACATGTAATCAAGAGTAGATTGAGAAAAGGCATTTTGTTCTTAAGATAAAACTGCCATTAAGAATGGCCCCATAATATCTAATGAAAACCTTACCCGTGATGGTGTAGTAATTTTTTCCCAAAAAAATGTAATTATTTTTTTCCTAGAATTTCAAAAAAAAGATCATCTAGGCAAATTGGTCTCCTCCTGAGAATACAGCCAGCATTAGGACATATTATCCAGTATTAGAGTTAGTCCAAAATAATAATAATAATAATCTGAATATTGAAAAAATTTAACAACAATAAAAAAATTAAAATGGGAGGGAACTAGGTGACTCAGCCGATCCGCATTGCCCAGTTCTCCAATAGAACTGAGCGAGTCTGTCAAAATTCAACTAATTCCCAGTTCTGACTAGAAACCAGGTTAGTTCCTACCAATTTCTAGTCAAGATCGACCATTCCCAATCCAAATTGACAAATCATAAACCATTGCTTTTGGCTAATACATTCAATTATTTCGTTGTAAACTGCCAGTTATAAGCTCCACTATAAACTTCAAACATTGTTACGATGTTATCACATCCTAATCATTCTTCAAGTGCCAATCATTAATATTAATGCTCACTTTTGCATGGTTCCTAAGGCCATACTTACCATTATGATAACCTAAGTTCTGAAATTTCAAGCCTTAAAGCCCATAGCACGAGATTTTTCAGGTTTCATCTCTCTCTCTCTCTTTTGTTGTCATTTTCAAAATTTGAATTTATTCAAGTTCTGACAACTCATTCTAGGACAAACGGGTGATAGACATCGAGATCAAATCATCCATATTAGGCACAATTTCTCATTTTTGTGCAAAAAGTAAAAGTGCATCTCTAATGCATATTCCTTAGCATCAACATAGCATAGAATTGATTTATTCTCAACAAGAACTTGCCAGAATCAACAACAAAGCAAAAATACCAAAACAAAAGAATCTCAGTGCTACTGCATCATTATTTTCCCCGCCTCACTGAACTTCTCCATCAATGAATCACTTGCTCTCCAACACTTCGACATCTACATGACCTCCTGCATTTTACACCACCCACAAGCTCACTATGGTTCACAAGTTCATCTCACATGCCCATATATATAAAACACAAGCATTTAAAGTGGCAACCATGAACCTTTATGAAAATTATAGCAGATTCCCCCATTCCAACCATTTCTTCCAAACTTTCTCACATCTCTCTTGTTGCCCCAAAATCTAAAACTGACCAAGCTTAAAACTCTTGCATTTGAACACCACCTGCATTATCTTGCACTTGATTGAAGTTTCTTAGAGATAAACCAGAAAACCCATGATCATTTTGTGCCACTGATTCCCACATCTTCTCAACCTCTTGTAATGAAAGACCCTTAGTTTCTGGAACAAGAAGATAAACGAAAAGGATAGCAATGGAAGCCATACACGCAAACAAAAAGAATGTGCCTGAAGCTCCTAATATATGAGCTAGAGAGAGAAAGGAGAGGGCAACAGCTAAATTGGCTACCCAGTTTGCTGTTGCTGCAATCCCCTCACAGACACCTCTTAAATGTGCAGGATATATCTCTGAGTTCACAGCCCAAGGGACTGGCCCCATTCCAGGGGAGAATGCCATTATGTAGAGAATAAGTCCAACCAAAGCCAACCACCCATGTCTACTAGGACAGGCTTGAGTAAACCAAAGACCAGAGCTCGCCAAACAAGTGGCACCTGCTGTTGAATTGTAGATTAGACAATTTCCTGGTTGCATCTGCAGTATATACTTAGCAGGGTAGTGAGTGAGTTAAAAACTTCGAAAACGACTAACAATTTGTGGAGAATACCAAGCTCGCTCTCTCTCTCAGTGAGCTGAAGTTAGAAATAGGCACCAGAATTTAAATAAGAGATGTGGTCTGCAAAAATATAAACAAAGCTAGTGGCTTCAAAACAAAAAAATTTTGTTATTACCTGGTTTTGAATTGAAGCACAGAACCCACATGTCTCGTGCAGACAGTCCATGCATGTCATTCTTTGGGAAGTATACTTGGGAGAATGATTTTGAGGGCAGAGAAGAGCGGGTCCAAAGTCTGATAACTTGTTGATAGAGGGTGAATCTGTGGTGGTTAAATGAAAGGCCAGTGATAGCAGAAGTAAGGCCCCTGTTGCACCAATGAGGCTGCTAATTGCGAGTTTTCTTCTTCCAGATCGATCGATTAGTAACATGCCTGCAATTGTACCAAGAGCATTCATAAGGGCCACGAGCAATGAGAGCTTTAAGGCTGTTTCATGAGATGCGTATCCTGCAAGTTCCATGATGGATGGGCTGTAATACAACACCGTATTTATGCCCGTGAGCTGCTGGAAAACCTGCAATAACAGAATGATCGTGTAAGCTTTTCAGATTCAAGATGATACCCAAAATGCTACTCTTCCCTTATATCATATATTCTTTCTAAATTCAATGGCTGAGTCCCAAGAAATGAAGATTTTCTTTTTACTAGACCAAGCACCTTGAATGGAGTTGACAAGCACATTGCAAATATTCGATCAATTTTGGAGAATTTCAATATGAGAACTGCAGTGATAATTAATTATGCTAATCACATGGCATTTCACTATGTACAGACATGTCAGAACTGCTTACAAATATTTTTTCACATAAGAGAAGTTGTTGGACATTGAAAGAGTAGCTTACAACAAATCACCTAATCAAAATGAATCTACCAAGAAAGTGTAACATACAATGCTTTGGAGATGCTACCTCTGTAATATGTTCGATCAAACTTCGCATTCATTCTAGTGAAGTTAATCAACAAAAAAAAAAAATGAAAAGTAAGATTTCATAGTGAAATTTGCAAACATCACTAATATCCATTATTGCCCCTAAATGAGGGACCGTATATGTTAAATCTGTACAGATTAGTTACACCAAAGGGTATCAGCAAATTGAGTTTTATCTAGGTATCAATAATGCACAAATTTGAATAAGGTGAGGAAAATGTGCGTAGATAAACCTGTATGCCCACTCCTGCAATTAGGGCCAGCCTTGTATCTTTACTAAATAAAACATCAAAAATAGTGACACTTGCAGTAGTTACAGTGGTACCCTTTGTGGATGAGCAAATTTCTTGTAACTCAGCCTTGCAAGTTTGGGGAGAGTGAATCTTTCTCAAAACAGGAATTGCATCATCAAGCCTCCCCTGATTGAAAGTAAAAACCATCAAGGTTGGAAGACACACAAAAATTTGAATATTTAGGATTTCAATTATTAAAAATGGAACTTGCTTGGGAAATAAGCCAATATGGTGACTCAGGCAGGAAAATGAAAACCACAGCTTGAAATAGTGCGGGTAAACCTGCTACTCCTAACATCCAACGCCATGTTCCAGGAACCTAGATAAAAAAATTATAGTGGGTATTAGTATACATTGCATTGACCAATAAATATACAATCGTCCCCCTAATTGGACATGCAAATAGGGCATTATCATAAGCAACTCTGGAGATAGATAAGTCCATACCTTAGTGAAACCATAGTTGATCAGATAAGAAATAAATTGGCCAACAGTTACCATCAAAATATTCATGCTCACAAGTGCTCCACGTATATTGGAAGGTGAGGTCTCTGCTATATAAAGAGGAGCTGCCATTGAAGCAAATCCAATTCCAAGACCAACCAAAAACCTGCCCCATATCAATAATGAGGCACTTGGGGAAGCCGACATGACCAAAGCACCTGCCATGAACACCACATCTGAGAAAAGCATACATGCCTTTCTTCCAAACTGGTCACACATTTTACCTCCCATAGCAGCACCTAAAGCAGCTCCCACTAAAGCAGTGCTCACAATGGTCTCCTGTGAAGGGATGACCATCCTGTAAATTAAAAAACTGCTTAACCTTAAGGCTAGAACTTTACAAGGAAATGACATTTCGTATCATATATTCTACAACGAGTTACCTGTAGAAAAGTGCTCTTGTCTACAGCCTCAAAATCTTCCCGTATGTAGAGAAGTGCACCAGAAATAACACCTATGGATGAAACATAAAAATGATTGAATGTATGAAGTGATAATGAAGGAAAAAAGGAATATATGATATTTAAATTTGATATAATGATATAATGATGAACTCCATGGTCTGTTCCAAGCCTGGGGTTTAGGTTGGCAGCCAACATAACAATTTTGTCATGTCTATTTCATGAATCATGAGCCAATGTCATATGCTGGCCCTTGATAGAGTGGAATAACAGAACATGATTCATATAGCCGATGCAAATAGTTGGGATAAGGCTCGGATGATGATGCAATGATAAAAATAATAAATACTTAAGTTGAAGAAAATACTTTGCAAAGTACTAAAATCTCATGTGACATCCAATATTTGAAAATTGAAAGCATAGCACCTAGCCATGATAAGAACTCTGAAAATGATTTATCAGAGAGATAGAAAAGCAGACATACATATGCCATGTGGAAAACTTTATCAGGGTAATGACAAGGAAACAAGGTTTTGGAAGAATCCAACATTTCAGTAAGAACCTTCAGAAAAGGTTTTAAACAAGAAAATTTGAAATTCGAAAAACATATTTGTGTTTCTTTTTTTGGGTGGAAAATATGTAAATGTTTTTTCTTTTGAAATGAACAAGAGAAACATTCTAGACGAAAGTACATGTTCACCGTCATATCACCTTTTATAATGCACGTACCACATATGGATGGCAAGAATTGAGCACAAAAGTTACACAATGTATGATTTACCAAAAATGGCAGAATATGTCAAAAGTGTAGGAAACACATAAAAACCAACATGTAAGGATCAGAATGGAATAAGTACAGAAATGGATAAATAAATCTGCAGAATACAAAGAGCTTCACCAGTTCCTGAATATGCAAGGGAATATATTATTATAGAACAATGCACAGTACTTCTGGCAATGGAGTATATGATGAATGATGGGATGGTTGGGCATAAACATGAACTCGCCAAGAAAAATATTCAGTTCATTTACAACAAAATCTGAAGAATTTTGGAATGATTGGATGCAAATTTGCCTTAAAGTAGACTAAAATTTAGACAACATGATTTGTCAAAATGAGCGGTTAAATACATGCTACCCAGGAATAAACTTACAAATGCATACCAAATGGCTTGGGGATAATAAAATAAAGGGCTGCCTTGCTTCACATTACCATTTGTACACAAGAAAGAACAAAAAACCACCTAACAAGCATAATACATGAGTAGGCAATGTGCATATGAATTCATCAAGATACATGCAGTTCTCTAGTGAAAACAACCTACAGGTGAAGGAATGAAGGCATGCAGTTCTCTAGTGAAAACAACCTACAGGTGAAGGAATGAAGGCATGCAGTTCTCTAGTGAAAACAACCTACAGGTGAAGGAATGAAGGCATGCAGTTCTCTAGTGAAAACAACCTACAGGTGAAGGAATGAAGGTTTATCACTGAAGTTTTTTGGGAGAAAGGTTAACGGCATCTCACTAAGCTGCTCATCAAATATGATACGCTTCATAAGAAGTTTTATGTTTCGTTACCTCACAAAGGATGATGACTACTGTTTTTTGTCATCTCATTAAACATCACATATGAAGTTACCTAAATCATTGGTGCTCCCAGAACCAAAGTCTCAAATAAGATATTAAAGCCAATCAATTCCCCTTCTTGTTAAGAACATTCTAAAAGTAATCTTTGGAATTGGGAAATGTGTGCTCTTCATATGTACCAATAATGTCACAAGAATGTCATAGCCAGTACTCCGAGACTAGGCCGAGGCCACTCAGAATCAGTCGAGTAAAGTGTATGCCAAATTTTTATAGTTATATAAAATACTATGTCAATTTCAAGTAAAAAAAGTATTAGTGGCATTTTGGATGGTGCTCAAGCGTATTCCACCTCAAACTGAGGATCGAATCCCCCCCTGCCCGACCTAATTCTTGTCATTTTTTTAAGCATTAAAAAACAATAAAGAGTATATAGGGCTAAAAAAAAAGGTTTTGGAAATCAAACTAGGGGTGGCAATTCGGGTCCAAAAGTTGGACCTATACCCATACCCGTCGGGTCCCAGGTGTATCCCGTCGGGTCCCGAGTCTAGTCGGGTCCATTGCCACTCTGATTATGAGCTTCTTTTTTTGTAGCCTACAATGGTGAACAACAGAAAACTGATTTTTTAGGGGTGAGCGACTAGATAGAGAGAGAGAGATAGAGACATTCGAGATCTAGAGAGAGCTATCTCTCCAAGAAACTGAGAGAGGAAGAATTGCAAAGAGGGAGGATGGCAATGGGGTTTGGCCATTTGGGGAACCAGGGGAAGACGAAAAGTATTCAAATGATTTTAGGGTTGGCTCTTTGGCCTTTGGGTAAACTAAAAATTCTGGTCCGGGTACCCGCCAGGTCGAGTACAGCAGGTACCCGGACCCTGGACTATCCGGGTATCCTTTATTGGACCTGGACCCTACCCGCATATCCAAAACTTGGACCTATACCCAGACGCGTGTCGGATATACCCGGCAGGTATGGGTCAGGTCCGGGTCCATTGCCACCCCTAAATCGAACCCAAGATCCCTTGTAAAGGGATTGCCCATAGGCGGCAAACCCAGCCACTACACCATTCCACAATTAACATTAAATGGCAGGTTATACTATATCTATTTCTACACTATGCCTTTTTTTTCTTTTTTTAAAAAAATAGGACTGAACTCGGGCAAATTGTTTGGACTCACCGAAGCAACTCGCCACGGCCGAGGTTTGAGTACCTTGGCCTAGTCATGTTTCAGAATACTGGACATAGCCAAAAATCAAATACATAAACCGATGTTCTGAAAAATTGATGGATAACAGCAAGAAACATGAAATGGACTGTGTCCCATTGAAATGTCAAAATGTACTAGTTTTTTCAAATGTGAAGCACCATGCCACATCTTGGACCTATATTGTTATGTGACTCAACGAAAAGGTTTCTCTCACCTCACACCCATGACAATAATCATTCTAACCATTGACAAATGCCACAGCAGCTAAAATAAAAACTCCAAAAATTTGCATGATCTCTTGGTATTTGGTTAAACATTAAAGACGGTGATCTTTTGACAATTTTGACAGAAAATGCTGCATAATGAATTGCATTTGCAATAACTCAAGGCAATTAAGCCCCCAATTTATCGATCATTCAATACTATGAAACTTAAGCGTGCCCTGGTTCAAATGTGCCTTATGAGATAGAAGCCATATATGAGTGTCATGTGCAAAGTGACCATAAAGTGGCAATGCGACTAAAATGCATCAAACTGGTACACAATAATAATCAGTTCTCATTTAATAGCAGAGATTTCCAAGCAATTAACCAATCCAACATTGATGTAATCACCATAGGGTGACGGGCATCGAAGCAACTATCTGATCAATCGTTCTTCTAAGACACAAATTTTTCACCAATACATCCATTAACATGAGTTGGCAAACAAAAGCACTTAAATAAACCTAACTTTCTTTCCAGTGAAACTCAGATCTACCATTTCTGATCTTAAAATTCAGAAATGAACACCAAAATCTCATCTAACCATTTGTTCACCTACCTGTATCGTAACCGAACAAGAACCCTCCAATCCCAGCGGCCATGGTGAGGACCACCGCAAAGGCCCCGCGAGGAAAATCTAGGGCTTCCAGATCTCCCGAGCCCTCGTCTTCATCTCTCAGATCCGTGTGAGAAACGCCATGGAGAAAGCTTGACGACTCAGTCGTACAGCCCACGTCCCCCTCATGTGCAGACGGCTCCTCCATGGCCAATAAACAAAAAACTCTCTCTCTCTAGAAAATCTCTCTTCTCTCTCCCTCTTTCTGAAAAAAGCAAAGGGGCCGTGTGAGTGTTGTAACTCGATTCAGAGATTCAGAGTTTTTGGTTGGATGATGGCGATTGGGAGCTGCATGCTTTGGCGGGGATTTGAAGTTTCGCTTTTTGCAAGGATCGTGGTTCGTTAAGTTCGTTACGGTTTTAGGTTTTTTTATTTTTTATTTATTTACCAAAAGATTTCCTAGTCCGGCGGGAGCATGCTATCCATCTACTCTCTTAGGCCAATCTGGCACTAGGAATATCTTTAGTTTTCAAATTTTGAGATATGATCTTTAGAATATGGCAAGTAACCTCGAAGAAATTTTTTTAAAACAAGTTCCTAAATTTTGGGGATGGGATCTTTAGCATTTGGGAACCAAATCTTAGAGAAAAAAAAAAATTAACTCTCACTCTCTATGTGCTTAAAAAAAATGGCTTTCTAAGATTGCAATGAAACCATCTAGTTTTTAAAGGGAATAATCTAGATGACAAGAACTCAATATCTATTTTTTAAAAAAAAAATAATCATCTAGTTATAATTAGATGAAAGAGAGTAAACTTAGGTCGGCTATATGAGTTAATTCAAGTGAAACATTAAAAAATAGCAAAAAGTAGATCTAAAATGACATGGTTGGAAGTAGTGATAATATATATGGGACTTAAAATCTCCCTAAATGTATGACCCTTAATAGAGCAGAATGACAGATTATGATTTTTCTAACCGACCCCAATTAATTGGAAAAAGGTTTTGACGATGATGATGATGATAAATCATCTAGTTACAATTAGATAGATCTTCAAATTTCAAGAAAATAATATACAATGTAAGTTTCTTGCTGAGGGAGTAGATGTATATTATGCTCCCAAGGGAGCATAATATGTGGGCTCTTTTTCATTATTTGAGGATGCGTGAAACATGCTACCCGTCTGGTTTCGAACAGTGCACTTATAGATCCTCCATTGTGTGAGGCCATCACCATCGGTTGAGAAGGTTAACGGTTCTCCTCGACTATCTACATTTGGCATTGGACGCTTGTAGATTGCTAGTATATTGCTGAAACTTGAAACTAAAGCAGTTACTTTTCCTATTGTCTTTAAGACAACCGGCTCATGGAAAGCCATAAAACAAGGGAGGCCTGCTCCCGCAGGATTAGTATGTATATTTATTCCAATGAGCAAAAGAGATGAGTATATTTCCAATCTAAAATTTTAGGATTCACTTTAGAATCATCAAATTACTACCATCAAAAGAAAAAAAAATCTCAAAATTTGGGTTTTAAGTCTACAAACACTCAAAATTAGCCAACCAAAAATTAAAAGATTTATGTTCAACCTTCAGATTTCCTTTTTGCAAACGCATACGAATGCCTTTAATTTTGTGATATTTTGTCTCTTTGTTGAGCTTGAATGCGGCGAGTCTCAAATTTTTGGGTCTTAAAAAACCTCCTAACAGGTTTTTATCCAATGGAGTGAATGCTCGATGTGTTCTACCGCCATCATCATCAAAGCCTTTTTTAACTAATTGTACTTGGCTACACGAATGGTCCTCCATTTTGCTCGGGCCATACCTTCAGTGATGCCGTAAGTCCCCGTAGCTTTTGGTATGTTCCCATAGGAGTATATAATTTTTTGACAGCCATATATTTAAGCATTATGATACATTCAGCACACAAACATTATGCAACATGTTCCTTCAGCCGTTCATAATCAAAACGTATAAAGGTTGAGATGAGCTTTTTCTATTATTAAGAGGATGTAGATGAAAAGAGCGAGGGAATATTCGTCTTGGTTATTACTGTTGACAATGAGCAGTTGAGGTGCAATGAAATGGAACTCTTTGTTGCATTGCATCACAGGAAAAGCATGACTTTCATAATTTCATATCTATTTTTTATGGTTGAGAACCGGTGGTTGGAGATGCAGCATTATGTTTGTACGCTACGACCATCTGTTTGAAATTTTGTCAATTTGGATTGGTGGGTAACAGTGATTTAAAAAATGCCGTATCAGTATGGCATCGCTTGTCCGACTCAAGAATCGGTCACCCGGACCGATTCTATCAATATATAGGAAATCATCCAGGTCTAGAAGAGAATAGCCAACTATAGTAAAACGACATTTGCTACAGTAAAAATACCATTTTGCTACAGTAAATTTATCGTTTTGCTGCACAATAAACGTTGATTCGTCGATCTATATTGGTTCTTAGTTTGTTCACTATTTTTGCACATGTTTTTTCGCCGGTTCACTTTTTTTTCAACAAAGTAAAACGGTGATCCGGAGCACTTTTTGCAATGCCCGATCCTGGTCACCAATCCACTTTTAAATCACTAGTGGGTAGAATCAATAATCAGTCAGTTTTTTTATTCTTGAGGGTATTTTTAAGGGAGAATTATGCTAATATCCCTCAATTCTTTGAAAAATCTTACCCCCCCCCCCCCCCCCTTATACTTGAAGTTTTTTTTCATTTTTTTTTTCCCTTGAGTGATATTTGCTTCAAACTATCAAAATCCAATCCGAAACTATTAACAAATTTGTCTAGAAATTGAAATTCCAAACCGGTCTTTTGTGAACCAACTTTATTTGAGTTTTGGGTTCGGAATTTCAAAATTCATACCCCACTTCTCACCTATCTCGCAAAATACAAATGAAGGGGTTTCAAAATTTCAAAATCTAAACCGATTGGTTCACAAAAATCAGGTTCGGAATTTCGATGTCCAAACCGATAGTTTCCGTTCTGAATTTGAAAGTCCGAACCAATGGTATTTTGGGGAAAATTAAAACAATTAAAAAAAAATGGGTACTTGAGAGTAAATTACAACATATTGGTAGGAATAAATGTAAGGGAAAAAATGAGAACAGATTTTTAATTCCAAAAAAAGAGGATATTAACAATCTTGTGCCTAATTTGATCCTATTTCACAACTTATTATGTCTCACTGCCTTAACACTTGGTTTTTTCATTTTGAAGGTAAACGAGGCATGTCAAAACCCGATAGATCTTTGGCCATGAGCCCATGACATATGATATCCTCATCTCTTCAATGAAAAGGATCATTCGAGCTATGATGAATCTTTCATCTAATGATACATTTCGTTTTTATTCTATTTAAGCAAACATAAACATATCACGTTAGCTTATGATAGGATTGATTAGGAGGACACAAAACTGTTGAATTATGACATAGATTTCAGAATAAAATGCTACAATTTCTTACAAGTACATTTTTAAAGAAAATAATTTTAATCACAGATGGCATGGCATCACTATATAAGGGCAAAAATGAGTACTTATCGAAAGCTTATATTATTTTTTTTATATTTTAGGTGGTAACAATTAATCTAGAAAAACAATTTCTTACAAGTATATTTTTAAAGAAAATAATTTAGGGGATGAATTTCTACAAAAAGGATTTATAAGAGGTTGCCTGCTTAGAAAGAAAAATTGTGATACGTGCCAGGCTTTTGGACATGCAATATTTATGGTAGAAGGAGAAAAATTTACATAATGGCAAAAATGAGAAAAAAAAAAATGAAATAGTGGCAAAAAAGAAAAAAAATTGAACCAAAAATCCCATGTGGTTTGTCAAAGGCTAGGTTGTGTGAATTGATAGGCCCAAGGTTCCATCATTGAATCATGCTATTAAGAGTACCATATTTGTAAAAGTGAAAATGCATTATTTTACATTTCACCCAAATTTTATCCTAATTTTAAAAAACTTTCAAAGGACATACTATGATAGGTTATTAAGAAGATAGAAATTGTTGGAGGGGCAATGTCAATTTTCCACCACCATACAAACAAAATCAACTGTAAGGAACACCACCCGAATGAATGTTGGTACTTTGAAGTACCAATATATCATCTTAAACACCCTGAAACATTGGTATTTTGAACAGCTTTCATTAAGTAAAATACTATATAGGATATTGGTATGTTTGAACACCGATATTTCGTTATTTGCTAGAAAAATGTATTTTTACATTAAAGGAATAAAGAAATAACTTAATTGACAAACAATATACGTACACAGGGTTTTTCTATTATTAACACCAGATGAAATCCTATATGTTATATTTAGAAATGGGTGTAAATTGTAAAAATTACTCTAGTTGCCCCATTCATTTGTACTTAAAAATAAAATGAGTTAGGGTATTTTTATTATTGAAAAGAGTATTGTTGATATTGTTACCAAAGATAAAAGTTATATTTATAATCTTGAGAATGACATTTTTTAAATATTCACTAAAAGATAATGTCATTTATTAGTAATAAAGTTTCTCTAATTTTACTCCATAATTGTCCATGTCCTTTAGTAAAAATATCAAGAGCATCTTTTCCAAAGATAAAAATACCAGTATTATTGCATTGCGATAGAATAAAGAAAGGAGCAATTTAGGCAATTCTTACCATTCACACCCCATTCTAAATGCAACCTATAAATTTCAGGGGGTGTTAACAATGGAAAAACCCTAGTTTCCTATGACCACTTCATTATAATAAAAACGAAACTGCTCATTTATAAAACGATATTTGTGGCATTGGTATGACCCCAACTTTTGCGGGTGCACTTTGTTCTTCGTAACAATCAATTCAGAAAAGGAATAATTTTGAATTTGTACCTAGAAAATGTAAAAATAAATCCCTATCGGATAAGTTATTCATACCATCTATTTTGTGGACATTGAGATCTACACCATTAAAAAAAATCAAATATCTTTCCAAATTTGTTCAACTAATAATGACAAGGTCATCTTCAAAATTTGCAATAAAAGAACCCTCAAGGCCTAGATCTAGTCATCCCATTAAATGAACAGCCTACGTTCATTGGGTTAAAACAAATACTTGTAGGTTGCTTGAGATGGTTCATAAAAAGAGTGTGCGTTTAAAAGTTAAGTAAAACAAATGTACCTAACATAGTTTTTGAGGCTGTATTTCATTATATTACTTTGTTACATGAAATCACCCCAATCGTTTGAATACATGAAAATTACAAATACCGCTTTGAGGAAGTTAATAACAAGGGGCTTGACCAACTAAATTACTTGGCTTGTTGTGTAGTCTTCTTTCTTGTTCAAAGTTCTTGAGTATTTCATAT